CAGCAGCTTGTCTCCTCTCCTCCTTCACCCTCTGCAGCTCCCACCGTGCAACACAACAGAGGTGGTGCAGTCACACTGTATCTGAGTGGCAGAATAAAGGCGTGAGAAATAAAATATATCAACGTAAACGTGCTGCAGGCAAATGCCCTGTGAGCAGGCAAGGTGACGAGGGGAGCAATGTACAGAGACAGGACCTCCATGAGCCCACGAGAAGGGGGTTCTGCGCTGAAAGTGGGGAAGAGTGGTGCAAGGGAAATCAGTGATGAGAATGAGGGAGGCTATTCAGAGAAGATGATCTGCCTGCCAAGAGGAAACACCAAGGATCTGTTTCCAGTGCTAGAAACAGTCTCGCACATGCACAGCAGGTTTTATCCTGGTTTACTGACTCGAAGCAAAGCTATGCCCGGGGATCGCCCAAGAACAGGACCTTTCCAAAAGACAACCACCAAAGTATTGTCCAAGTGGCAATGAGGCCTCATAGATCCCCCCAGACAGAGGGCTTAAGATGTCTGTTTTAGAGAGTATCAATACACAGTGGAACAGAGAGCGAAGCTTCCAGACACATACTTTTGTCACAGTTTTTAAGGAGGTTTCTGGCATCAAATTTTGGCCAGGTTTGTCTAATTTTCAGGAGTTTAGAGGAGCAGTGACTCCAGTTGGGGTGGGTGAAAACCACAGCTCCCAAGGCCTTGAGTCAGATACTCTGACAGATACAGAGAAAGGTATTTAAAAATACATCAAAAATGGTAGATTTTAGCCTATTGCCCTTGCTTAATCCAAGTCAGTAGCAGAGAAAGAAGTTTCCACTATCAGGTTTGAGCTTTTTTCCTTTTCACTGTATTTCGGAGATCCCTTTCCAAAGTCTGGGCCTTCCTCAGGTAGGCCCAGCACCTCTGTGAAACCACAGAAAATGATTTGCAAATTCACTCAGAACACCAACAGCAAAGAGAAGGACTGGACACTGAGCTCCTGGGGTTACTGGTTAGTAAAGTTACCACCTGGCTGACTTTGCTGGTTTATCAACTCGAAACTTTCTGTTCTTTTCCATGCTAATCACTAACCACCACTGCCTACCTAAAGGAAGCTTCTCCCACAGAAATGACCGGCTCCTGAGTCAGAGCTATCGTCCTCCGTGGAGCTCTTCCAACATGTCAGTCCTCACCTAAGGGACACAGCTTTTGTTCTTGTCCTTAAGCATCCTCAAAATGCCACCAACTGTCCTGAATTGTATTTCAGGTTTTGAATAAGAGAAAATTTTTAACAAAATGCAAGCCAACATTACCAAACGCATTTCAGATACAATCTAAGTCAGGTCTCCAAATGCAGCACTTGTGGAAACGGTACTGTCACTTCCCCAAAACCTAAGAAATATAAAAATAGTATGATTTATGGGTACCACTATACTATAAATCCAAATTTATTGTGTCAGTGCAAAATCATGCCTCACACATGCCCACATAACCACAGGCTGCAGCCCACTTACCACTAAAAAGGAGAGAAATGGATCCATGACAGGCTCAGAAAATACTTGAAATTAGTGACTTGCTACGACAACATTAATGCCATTTGTTTGTATGCTGTAATGGTGTAAGTATCATCCACTGCCGAAATATTTAAGAAAATAAGTTTGCAAGTTCACGTCAGCCATTCCCCTGGGTGCTGTACCCCGCTCGCTGTAGAGAGCCCTGGGCTGGGGGTTCCTGCCTTATGTCGTCCGTATGTCCAAGTACAACCACAGCAGTTCCATACGCATTTTGTTCTCCCAGCTTATCTCCTCACAGCTCTGGAGTGCATTCTTCCTTATCTTGGAGACAAATAGCCTCCACGGAAAGCTCTAAACAGCAGAGCTATTTATCTGTTTGACATGTGTTTCCCTGTTTGTTTTCTCCAGCCTTGAGACAGTCGGTGCGGGCTTTGACAATATTCAGCTGTGTCAACGGCGGAGGGTTGCCTGGCCCCTTCACTCCAGTGCTGTGAATCAATTTCTTTGCCATATTTATCATTTACTGTAGTAAATCAAGTCTAATCGATGCTTTTTTCTTTTGATATAGAGCAAAGCCTTTACAAACTTTTCAGAAAGCTGGCTGGAATTTAAAAGGACTGGAGGAGGAAAAAAAAGAAACCAATTATTTAATCAATTCAGCAGCAGGTTTTTTTGTTGGGGAAAGAAATGAAAAGGTGGGAATGTTCTGTGGGTGGCAGTCCCCATCGAGAAAAAGGAGGGGGGCAGAAAAAAAAGGTTTAATTATTGATTGCTCCCAGTACTTCACTTGTTGCTTTTAACATTTTATTCTTAAAGCACTACCTGAACAAGCGTCTCCCTGTCTAACACATGTGCATCTCTGCTCTTTCAGAGCCAGCTCCGGCACGCAGGGGACTCCCTCCCTCCGCACACACAGGTCGTGCTGCCCCCTCAGTCCCACCAAGCAGCAGAGCCAAGGCTGGAGAGCACCAGAGTTGGTGTCGTTCTCGTTTACCAGGGCTGTTGGCAGCTCCAGGCAGCAGGGCTGGCACGGGTGCCACGAGAGCACAGACAGGGGCCTGCAGATCCCTCTCTGCGGCAGGAGCAGCACTCCAGGCAGCAGCGAGGGGGGAGGACAGACTCTCCCAGGGCCTCAGGCAAGGATCCAGGCTGCTCCTGCTGTTCACTCCCCCGGGGGAGAGCAGCTTCTGTAAGGACAGCTCACAAACACCTCTGCGAAGGTGCGGGGCTGGGAGCGAGACCTTGCCATCACCTTCGCTTGGGTCTGGGTAGGAACGGAGGTTGGTGCTGTCCCGGTGACACTCTGCTGTGACGGCGAAGCAGCAGGATGTTAACTGGAGCCATCCTCCCACGGCCACCGCAGTTGGCTTCGGGGAAGCACTGCACCACTGCCACAACAGAAGGTCAGGACAAACCGCTCTATTTAACCTAAATCGCTAATATAAAGGTAACTGATCAAAACCAAGACGTTAAGCAAATTATAGCTCTGTTTAATCGCTCCCCCAGGGCACACCATACACCTCAGATAACCCGCTTTCCCCTCCTCCAGCAAAATGCCACAGTTCTACCCCTCTCAGGTTTAGCTCATATTCAAACTTATTTTCAGTAGGAATTTTGTCCAGACACTGCAGTTCTCTTCTCCTCGCACTGATTACAATTATGAGGGACAAATGCCTTAAAACAAAGTATTGGCTGTGCTACAAACAAGCTTGGGTGGATAGGGCGGGAAGTGGCACTAGAAACAAGAAGAATTTTAAAAGCAACAGAACGGACTACAAATACATTGAGTTCCTCATATCAACCAATTTCCAGCCTGGAAAACCTGTGTAAGAACAATTCCTATGGAATCATCCAAATAGCTCCTCTACAGAAACTGGATTCCTTATTGGAGTTCATTCACTTCTTCCAGAACCCACAGCCGCTTATGGGATTGAGGGGTTGAGGGTGAGGGGCCTGGGTTTTTTCCCAAGTGTTTGTGGTTCATGGATTAGGCAAACGTCAGTTTTGGCTAAACGAGGTCACAGAGTTCCACTTTTCTTTTAAAAGTGTCTTTGTGCATTCTTTTTAGAGAACCAAGGCTTCTCTTTCATATAGGCACTGCTCATCCAGAGCAGTCTCGGTGTGCTGGATAATGCAGCCAAACATGGAATTCTTATCAGTCAATACAGAAAAACTTCCCACCCCACCATTACAGAGGCCACATAAAACTGCTATCAATCAATATATAACCACCAACCTTCATTATCAGCTCCACAACCAGTAAACAGTTTTGCAAAAAGGCTGCGATGAACATCAACACAGAACAAAAGGGGAAGGAACCTGGGAATGCGAAGGGGCCCCAGGGTACAACACACCACAGCACGTTTCCCCAGGTGCAGCCCTGCAGAGGAGTAGCAGAAGGAAAGACAGCACACTGCAGAACTGCAGGAGGTGAGCAGGCACCTGTATGTTTCGGGAGGCAGAAACAGAGCTCAGCTCTGCAGGGTTTCAAAGGTGAGAACATCAATGACATCAAAGTTACCTGGGAGTTAACATCTGTGTGCATGCCACGTTCTCATCTGGCATTTACTGTGGCATCACGTTGTATGGACACTGAAGGTATTTACACCCAAACTGGATTCACACAGACAGATGGAAAAGGCTCACAAGTGGCATAAAGAAACCAAGCTTCTAGGCATGCAGAGGAAAGAACAAAAAGATTAACTAGGGGTATTATCCCCACTCCAGAAGAGGCAACCAAGCAGGTCTGTTAGAAAGAGGAACAATCTCAACAGTCTGCCACAAAATGGAAGAATCAAAAAGAAAAAAAGAAACAACAAAAGACCTGAAGACATGGGATATTACAAATACCTATCAATTTTCACAGTATGTATTTCCTAACTTGTACTGATACAGCTTTCTCCAGCCCATGTTCAGCTGAAGGAAGTTTCAGAGTTCATACCTGTGATGTGGGGACAGAGAAAGTAGGGTACCTTTTTTTTTTTTTTCCCCTGAAGTGCGGTTTTTTTCCCCGCTCTCAGACATATGCTGCATAATTGCAGCTGCAGTGTAGATTTTATTGCTAGCATTTAGAAGAGTAAGTGCTCACTGACACGCAAGATGGGAAAGGTTCCTCCCCCGGGGAACAGAACACAGAGGCTGATTAAGCGACTGGTAGGTATTTAAGAACATAAAAAATATTGGCAGATCAGGGTTGCAGTTCTCACTGAACAGGAGTCAGCACAGGAACAGAGCTAGCCTGCTGATTTCCAGCAGGGTGTAGCATTGGTGAGGAATAAGTCTTTAAGCTTAGGATTTTTACACACTCTTTAATAGTAAAAAGGTTGAAGAGTAATCATGGCTTGCTCTTCCAGAGGCACAAATCAAGTACTTTGGTTTTGTCAAACTGCTGAATCAAACCTGGTGGGCCATGTACCATCCTGCCCCCCCCCCCAAATCCTTTCGTAGAGACTGAATAGCAGCATAGCCACCTGATTTCAGGAACTCATTTACAGTTAACAGAAATGAGCACAAAATATATCAACCAATTGGATTATTTTAATGTTATAAAGACAAAAAGGAGCAAATCAGTTGGCCAAAGCTAAGCGATAACTAACAACAAAGCCAGCTCTAGACAACACAGGTTTGCTGTTTCTTCATTTGGGTCAACATTACTGTGGTGATATTAAGAGCATATAGAGAAAGAAATAAGAAATAATTAGGATTTCTGTTCCTTAAAGAGAAACAGCGGTGTCCACATGTGGAAACATTTCAAAAACAGCACAAAAGAATAAATACATGGCAAAACTGTTGCAGTAAGTTATGTAAGAGCTGCAGTAATATAAGCTATTTCTATCTTGTGGAAATATAAGCGATAACCCTACTATTTAGCACTGATGATAAAGAAATTTCCTTTATTTTGTACAAAAAATAGAAAATCTTAATATATATTAAAATAATTTGTCAGCATTATTTAAACTTTTAAAGTTATAACTATTATTTTTGAAGTGGTTAGCTATAAAGCATTTTAAAATTTAAAACCGCAGCAAAATGTCATAAACAAATTTATACAAACATAATGAGGGTATTTTTCAAGTACATCCCAACAGCTAAAGACAGCTAAAATGATCCTACAGTTCTGATCCTGCAGTTATATTTGATTAGGATATAATTCTACTACCAAATAAACTTCATGAAACCTGTTTCTAGAAATTTACTGAAATTACACATTCCCACATGTAGAAACCAAATCTGAGACTGTGGAATCAGAGAAGAAAAATAAAAATCTAACTATGAGGGTATCTATCACACAGCCAATATCAATTCTTTTCAAAGCAGTCTTGTCCTCCAGACTGTCAACACAACAAAGAAGAAAAATACCAACTTCTTTCTGCAGCTCTGGATAGCCTTGGGAAGCCCCCACTATAGCAATGAGCTGTGTTGCTAGTGGGTCACACCATGTTATCTAACACGGTCCCTTCAGGCTTCATCTCCATTTGTGCTGCAGAGAAAAAGCAATGGGTTTGTCTTCGAAGTCGCCTCCAAGAAATTTCCCTTCCCAGTACTATCTTTTGAAAATCTGTCAGGTTCAGATACACAGTTTTCTTCTTGTTCCTGTAAAATGCAGCTTGCGGCAGCCAATCCTTCAGGCTGTTCTGAAAGTCTAATTGCAGTGTGCATTTGCTTTTCTAATTCTTCTATCAATTTTCCAGGAACAGATGTAGATTGCAAAGAAACCTTTGATTTTTCGTCACTAACCTCAAAAGTCGAAGTGTTTGTGCCCTGCCTTAATCCATTACAGTCAATAAGTGGAGCTGTCCTCTCCTCTTGAAGTGTGCCTTGTACAGAATTTATTTTCCCATCTTCACTGGTTGAGGACTCTCGCTCATCTGAATCAGAGCCTTCTGTCTCAGATGATGAAGTACTGCTTGATTCTTCAGAGTCACTTGTCTCCGACTCAGAGGAAGGCAGCTGTTGCTTGGAAACTGTGCCAGCAGCTTTTAACGCGCTCTCTTCCTCTTGTACCAGCACTGCTGCTGCTTCCAGCTCTTCTAGTTCAAACCCTATGTGGGACTTAGTGAGCGTGGTTTTCCGCAAGGAGTCAGAGAGTGCAGCCAACTTTTTTGACCTTTAACCAAGAACAAGATATATTATTATTTAACTTTACAAACAGAACTTTCCCATTTGATAACAAGAACACCAATGTTAAACACTTCTACTATTCGCTTGGTTTACAAGGAACTTTCTTCTTCAATTATGATTGTAAAAATAGATGCTACAGGGAGAAGAAAAATCAAAATTACTCATAATTACTATTATTTTGGGTAACTTATCCCATAAAGCTAGACAATATCCTACTGAAAGTCTTCGGTGACGCTTTCGGAAAAGATGATGCTTCTTTGACGTTTCAGCAGCGCACAGTAAGGCAAAATGGATTTCAGAACAAACCTTTTCAGGACTGCTGTCCTCAGCAGTGAATCCTGCAGTACGTGGCTTGCTGGATTAAGTTTATATGCAGCAAAATTGTTTTGTTTAACTACCCTTCCAGATACATCTGTTAAATGCAGATGAACCGACACACATAGCTGATCGGGTCCATCCCAGTGATATATTTTCCTCCTTTCACAGCTAGCTTGGTGCACCCATGATAGCGGGAAATGTTCAATATCTCTGTCAGTAGATGTGCTTTACCTTTCACTTGTAACTCAGCTGAAATACAATTCAACAGAAGTATCAGGACCATTTAGATAAACAACTCTAATAAAGCAGGCACGCTATGTCAGCTTCAAATCTTAGGTACAGCCATACCCATTTCCTCAAGTGTTTTAAAGTCAGCACATGCTTTATCAGAAAAGTGCATCACGGATTTATAAAAAGAGAGAACAAAAAGTAAGAGGGTGCCTTGAAATGGAGGTGGGGGGGCAGAGGGGAAAACGGGTATAAAACAACAAACATACATCCTGTTTCTTGTTGTAGAGTTTTGCCTCAGACTATCAATCAACTTTTCACCACTTCCTGCAACAGCAGGTCTACTATAAATCCTCCAGTAACTGACTGGGTTTCATTTCCTCTGCCAAACCTGCTAACCTGCAAGGCATGACACACTGACACTGGAGCAAGTAGCTGATAATGTAATACATGACTCCTGCGAGGCAAAAGTTAAAGTGCTTGTTCTCTCAGTTGAATGATTTTAAAGATCTTTATATTCTATTTCCCAGGGGGCATAATTACTCAGTATAACACAGACGCTTCATTTTTTTTTTTTCCTCCTAAAGGAATTGTATTTAAAAGTGGGGGAAGGGAAATTCAGCGCAGCTTCTTACACATTTTACAGAGACAGTGCAACATTTAAATGCTAAACTTGGAAGAAAATATACTAAACTTGCTTAGTTCAACCCATAGACTAGAAAACTAAGAAATAAGTGTTTCCCAGAAGTAACTGAAGCAACAGAGAACAATTTCTATTTCTCGGATTTAAAAATCTAAAGCTAAGAATAAAATCACAACATTATCTTAGCAGCCTCCAATATAAACACATGTACCAAATTTTAAAAAGCTGCTTACTTAACACTGTTCTAATTTTAATTTTTCGTGATATATTTCCATTTTATTTTTGTCAAGAACTTGACTTTTTCTTGAAAAGTTACGGACAATTTCACAAATTGCCAACCTAATTGGGAACAAAGAAAGCATTCTCCCTTGCTCCATAGGTAAAAAGGAGAAAAAGAAGTCAAGTGACACTTGGAAAGGTTTACGAAGCCTTATAGGTAGGTGACAACAGAGTAACTGGCTTGCAGGGAAATTTGCTTCCTGAACACATTGGTGAGAAGCTGGTTTACACCCCAAGTCACAAGAGTTTACATCCCTTTCAGAAAGTATTTTGCTTTGCTTTTGAAACAGTCTTTCATTCCTTCTAACTATATGCATGTATGTGTGTGCACGTGTCTCCTTTCCCTGTGAGAATTAATATGATAAAGATTTTTTCCCGCCCTATTGCCAGCCTGCAAGAATATGATGAGCTCCAAAAGCTAAATGTGCCTTGTGACAGAGGACACTGTTTTGTACCCATTTTATACGTAGTTCCTTTTAATTTCATTGACAGCCATTAGCAAAGAACTGTAGGGACAACAATTTCCTCTGGTGATACATCTTCAGCTCCAGGTCAGTCTCACCTACCTGTTTTACTACTGCCTTTATAGATAGAAAATCAATTTTGAAAGTCCTGTTTGTCCTCGCATCTCTTCTATCATGTCTGTCACTTTAGCTCCCAATCCTATATGCATTTTTTGACTTTTCCCTATTTCTGCTCTTCTAACTTTTCACGCACATTTTTCCTGTTAGATACTCTCAGTCCTTGAAACCACTCCCTTAAAATCCTCTCCTCCTCTTTTATTATTCTCTTATAATGCAGTTAACACATTATAGAAACACATCACGTAACTGAATCATGTATTAAGGAGATGTATGGCATCATGTACTTTTTGGCACTAATAAATACTTCACTGTGCTCCAGATTACTTAATGCCAAGTGTTAAGGAAGAAAATACAGTGATATACTCATTTGACTCAACGTGCATTATGTTACTAAATAAGATGTGGTACTACTGACAGATAAAAATGGCCCCTCTCAAGCAACAAGCATCTGGTTACTCTACACACAAATGCATTTTTATCAATGAGTTCAAAGGGAATGAATGAAAAGGCTGGTGCCTGACAGCTACAGACAAACATCCGTCCTGGACAACTGTAAAACTGCAAAAGGCGTTCTTAGTCTGAAAACTTTGGGTTACTTCCTCCCAAGTGATCAAAATACAACACAAAATAACGACAATAACTGATTTTGTAAGACAACTGTGGCTTCAAGTTTCACATTTAGTCCTTTTTCCCAAAAAGTTTTGATAGACCTACTGACAGATGATATGCTTTTTATCTTTACAAAGGATTACAGGAAAAAAAGCATTGATTAAACAGCCTGCTCTTCTAACAATAACAGCTCAAATGGATACTCTGCTTGGATGAGTAAATGCCTGCAAAAGGCCAGCAATTCCATCTATCCCCTTAACCCCTACAGCTGCCGTGCTTTAGCTCTCTCACATAGTGGGCCCATGGAGCAGTGTGATTGCCAACACCATCCACAAGGACACTGGCCATGAACTACCAACCGGCACATTTCAGGGAAGGGGAAGGGCCACAGACTTCGTGCAGACCTGCACAACCTTCTTTTTCTCTGCATCGATGCCCCAAAGATGATGTTAGGCCAGCCACAGTAGGAATTTTCTACTAAATCATTAAAAAACTAGAAGATTGTTTTACTGTTTTTTTCAGCTCTTAGCCACATCAAGTATTTGATTTAAACAGCATGAAAAAGACTCTTTTCAGTTACTCAGATTTCTGAGTAGGCTAAATGTTTCTTCCCAACTTCCACTCTGGACATCAAGTCTCTTACAGGAAAAAAAAAAAAAAAAAATGGACAGTCTACAGAGCTCGACATTTCAATATGAGAAACAAACTCAAAACTGACACACTCTTGACAAATTTACATATAAAGGCAGAAAACTCCACTCCCCAACTTTCCAATCTTCTATTAAAAGTAAAAAAGAGCACCTTCTGAACAGCTTGCTGCTTTTTTTTTTTTCCCCTTCCTCTGTGCAAGGGACTAACTGAATTACAATTAGCTATCAGTCCATCTTGTTTAAGGCAATTATCTTATTTCAAGGAGAACTGAGTTTCAGGAGTGCATTTCACATCAGCCTTAAGAAAAGGTGGCAGTGCTCCCTGGACAAAAAACAAGGAAACGGCATAAAAATCAGAGCATGGAAATGCTTTCAATGGGAGGCTGTGGGTCTCTGAGCGAACGATTCTCCTAGCTGAAAGATAAGCAACAATTCAGGAAACAAAAATGAGACACCAGAAATGAGATATCACGTATTAGAGACTTGCAGTAAACAGGTCCTGCTGCTTCCAAAATCTTTTGAGTAGTATTTTAGAGATTAGACAGCAAATACTTTAATTTTTCAAGTATGATTAATGGAATTGCATGATTACTTTAAGACATGCTCATTCAGTATGCATATTTGTGGTAATGATATCTTATTATTATGGTAATAGTGTTCTTACATAAACATGCATAATAGGCTTTAAAGGTGCTACACATGATAATTATTAGTTATCAAGATGTCAGTTGCTTAAAGAAAATGTTTAATTACAGGTTAAACTGATCAGATGCATGTTTTGTTTAATGTATAGCTTTGAGGAACAGGTAACAACAGAGGCAGTTCAGGGCTTGTCCATGTAGTCTGGAATTAAAATTTCAAGACAAACTATTGTAATCTAGGCACAGGAGAGTTTCTCTATGTGCTAGTAGAAGAAAAAAAGTCGTTTCACACGTTTCAGATTATAAAAGTGTAAAACTGGGGTGAAAAGAACAAAGAATATTTAGCAAATAAAGGGAGATGGATAAAACAAGTTAAAAAAAAAAAAAGATTGTGGCAACAGAAAAGGGAAATCATTACCAGCTTCCAGCAAAGCCCACCTGTGGCAGCATGCAGTGATGGTGACAGGGACTGACTGCAGTGCTGAGACACAACCAGCAGTCAGGGGGGGAAGAGAGCAGGAGACAACTTCTCCATTTAAAGACCAGTGCTCCTATGAGCTCCACTTCTACCTTCTGTTCCAAGGAGAAAAGAGAGCACTAGGACCTGATGAATCAAGACAGTTGTTATCTCCAGAACACAGAGCTATAAGAAAAAGGTCTCATAGAATATATCTATTAGGGATTTGATTGTTTCCAAGGAAGATTTAACATAAGCTGGAAGGAAAGACAAAAGTCAACCTAGCCATAAAAAGTAAATGCAGGACCTTGGGGATATATCCAGCCACAAAATTCTCCACTTTTTCCTAAATGTTAAAATAAAAATAAGTAATTATGCTTCAGCATACTATGTCCATCAGTCAGAAAGAGCACTACAAAAGGAAAAGGTTTAAAGAAAAAGTGTTAATGGGCCAGGCCTTTCCATCTGGTTGGTACTTGCCTTAGATCCCATTCTCTTGCTTTAGCAGTTCAGTTATGTTAAAAAAACAAACAAACAACAAGAACTTGAAAATATGAAAATCAGCATTCTGCTCCTC